GATGGTGTACGAGCGGATGTCCTGTAGCTGCGCAAAGAATTTGCAACGGCGGATCCAGCGACTGGACAAGAATTCGTACAGCGATCACGGATGTATTCCGGGCAGCGATCGACGATTGCGTATGCTATCGGTGAATGCATCTTTCGTTAACGTCACAATTGGCGATACTCAAGAGCTACCTGCGGTGGTATTTGGGCGTTGCTAGAGAACAGTTAGTACCACAACTTTCATGCCATAGGACTGGGAAAGAGCCGCAAACGGGGGAAGGGGAGGAATACCGGGGAAACAAGAATTGGCACGATTTCACAACGAGGATTGGTACAAATATTGGTGAAAAAACCGTTACAATTGACGATGGTCAAGAGCTACCGATCATGGTACTTGAACGTTGAGGGAGAACAGGCGGTACCGCAAAATCCACGCAATACGAGGGGGCAAGAACACGAGAGAGGAATACCGGAAAAACCAATGCAGTGGGCAACCGTAGGACTTTTTGCAACAAAAATTGGCCCAAATATTGGGGAAAAAGCCTGGGCCATCAAGAAATCCAAAAAAGATAATTGCTCTACGAAAAATTTCACATTGTTGCAAGAGGTAAAAGTGCCGGAAAGCTGGGGTGCAGCGGCACTTTTTGGAGTAGTACTTGCCAAGCGCATCGATAAAAGGGCCTGGGAGCAAGATGTTGGCATCTACAGGAGGATAGTACTTGAGCCATGGGTGAACGACCGCTTCTGCAAAAACAAGTAAAACTTCAAATTCCATTTGGTACGGCAATAGAAAAAATGCCAAGAAGACCGTTGCAGTGAACACATCTAATCAAATGGCTTATCACTACAGGGAGGGAGTACCACACGCGCCAGTAAAAGAGCTCAAACTTGGCTCCACTGGGAATGTGCTGCGATGGCAATACCAGGACTGTGAAAGTGGCCGATTGAATTGGAAAATATTCACAAATGAATTTTTGCTCTGGGTCGGGCTCTCCAGGTTGCCGGATAAACAGATTTTCAGGATTTCCATAGCAAAAACACGATCAAGCGGGTTTTCAGGATTTCTATTGCAAAGGCACGGTCGGTTGTTTAGTAGTAATTTTGCAATTTTGCATTGTTACTACATCTGTTCTTAATTCGTGGGAAAAGTTTACAAGCCAAATGACATAGGTCTAATTTAAACAAATGTACATCTCCACTCATACAATGGTCAAAATAATCACGAAACGAAAAAGAAAAAAAAATGGTATGGTATCAACGACATCGTTAATGAAAACAGATGGTAAACTAGTAGCCGATTCAAAGTACCAACTCTAAATATCGTGATGTCAGGGCGACGAAACACGCGATAATATAACGATAGCGAAACAGGTCATGCAGACTGATAAGTTGGATGCTTATTGGTGAGGATGACTTCAGGACAATTGAACATTGGCCACTGATATGATAAATCGGATACCTGTCATGAATACAAGCCCAATGGCACCACGGATCAGATGTCTATTATGATGGTGATAACAGGACGCTGAAATGGGGCTTAATGGAGTATATTGAAGCTGCTGATATCAGCACAGTGAAAGGGGCCTAGTGATATGAATTAAATTATGATGATGATATTAGGGCGATGAAACAGTCCCCAGTGAACGAGTACCGTGGAAGTCGCATCAGGACGGTGAACGCAGGACAATGATCTGATAAGACAGTGATATCAAAACTGTGAAAAAGGGATCCAATTATTTGTTAAGTATTTATGCAAAAGTTTTGCTACTGTTAACGTGATTGCCCAGCACTCATAATTAGCTGCTAGTTTCCAGGGTATTCGCTGTGAATGTTTAACCGTAGATTCTCCCCCATCCATTCACATTGTTATGCCTATATGTTGTCAATTTGTATAAAACAAATATATAAATGTGTAATGGATGCAAAACAAACAAGATAACTTTTCTTTATGGATTGCTTCCGAATGAAATTTGCGCAAAGCTACAAGTTCGTTCAAAAGGGCCCAGATTTAAAAATCTTTC